AAAAAAAAATAAATCCTTTTGTTGGCAGTCTCCCACTGATGACATGCAGCAATCTTTGCATATGAAATCGGCTCATCCCCTGCTTTGCTGCTAACTTTGTAGATGTTCCAAAGCATTTCTGGAGCAAGTGATCTATTTGGACCAACGATGCCAAGCTGGGACCTGAGCCCTGAATGAGCTAAAACTACCAAATCAAGAAGAACGTGGCTTTGGAAGCTATTTTCCCCAAGTGTGGGGTTTCTTCTAGTCAAGGGAGTGATAAAGAATGTTGACTTTTTCCAGATGAACAAAGTTGAATGAAACCTCAAAATCCCACTGCAAGCTTCGTCCTGAAAAACAAGTTGCTGCTACAGAGGTTTCTGTCCCCTATACTTCCTCTCCCCAAGCATAAAAACTGCACCTGTCTTCCAGAAGTCCACGATTTCGATGTGGATCTAAGGATGTGCACCACGTGCTGAGCACTGTGGATAAGGGGACAGGGCAGGCAGGACCCAGTCCTGGAGGAAGTCATCGTTTGCTAGGAAGACAGAACATTCACGACTAACCAAAATAAGACACAAAATGCTAAGATCCATAAGTAAGGAACAAGTAAAGGAAAAGGAGCACTCCGAGGAGGAGGGAAAGCCTCTTTGGGGCAGGGGCTAGAACAGGACACACCCCTGAGCGATGTATTTTGTCCGTTCCTCTATGACAGCCCTCAACCCACTGGACCACAAACATGTCATATATCCACCTTCCTCACTGGAAGGTGAGCTCCACGGGCAGAGGCCCCATGTTAACAGTGATTAATCCACCCTGGTGGACTCAAAGGAGTGCCTGTGGGTGTGTTCTCAAGGCGGCACAAAATACTGCAGATCTAGGGGAAGTGAGAAGAGCAGGCAGAGCTGGAGCAGTGCGGTTAGGCTGGATGCTGGGAGGGCCGGGGCAAGAAGCTGAAGTTTTACTCAGTACACAACAGGGAGCTGCAGAAGGTTCTGGGGAGAGCTGTGAATGGACTGAGAATGTGTTTTAGATTATTCTGACAGCAGTTTAGAAAACAGACTGGAGCCAGGGCGATCGACGGAAGGGGGCTGCGCTGGTGCCCATGAGTAAACGCCTCCATGCCAGCCTGAGTGCAGGCAGCGGGAGGTGCTGTAAAGGGAGGACCGAACAGGTAAACTGCAAAGCCCACGGAGCAGGGGTCGCTTCCGTGTGCTCCCCAAGCGCCTGGCTTGACCTCTGTGTGGCATTGCCGTCGGGCCCTCAGACTGCACGCTCCCTGAGGGTGCTGCCCATTTCTTCTTCATCACTCTGCCCCTGACAGAAACCCTACAGAGCAGGGCCGGAAAAGTGAGCTCTTGTTTGCCCTCCATCACTGTCAGTTCGACCCCAGTACGTCAGATGTGTTGGTGCACTGGTGTGTCCGCTTATTACAGCCCTGGGCCTGGATAGGGAAGGAATAAGGGGACACTGGACAATAAAAGCAACTGGGCACACCCAAATAATATGAACATAGCACAGGTGCCTGGACAGAACGGCGTGGAACTTTAAGATTCTGAGCCTAGAGAAACCAGTGTTGGTCCCATAAAAAAACACGAAATTCAATACCACACGCTGCAGTAGCAGGCTGAACTGCAGATAGAGGGTGGTGAGCTCTCCGAATGGATAGCTCTCACTTTTACAACCTGTTTGGCAAATAAACAAGAGTGAGTAAGGAGAGACTACAGTCCAAAGGTAAGCCAAGTCTTGAGTTACGTGGACCCTCCATGGAGAATGCGAGCTCCTCTGAGATTTCCTCGGGCAAAAGACTGAGGCTGGAGAGGGGAGGGCCAGGTGTTCGTGCTCTGTGGGATGGACGCCAGTAAGAGTAGAGGAGGAAGAGAAGAATGGACTTGAAAACTCAGAAAGTAAAACTCTCCTCTGGCTCGAAACTTATCTTGAACTGCAAGCTTCACGGACAGTTCTTCCATTTCCTTTCACTCTTTTCTGCCTGCTCTGTGGCTAACGGGAATATCAGCTACTTTCCAAAGGAGACTGCCAAGTGGGGGCCTGGCACTGGAAGACCTGGGGTCCGAGTCTGGCTGTGTCATCTATTAACTGCACGCTGCAGGCGAGCCTCTGAGCCTCAGTGTCCTCGCCTATAAAATGGAAATAACAGCAACAGCTACCTCAACCAACAGGGTCACAGGGAGAACTAACAGGAATAATGCACAGGTACACAGCAAGACTGTCAATAAAGGTGTTTTTTGTTTTCTTGAACTGAAATAGCAAGAAAGGGGTTATACCCCAGGGTCTGACACCCACCAAAACCACAGTGTAAACTACCATGAGCTGGAAAAATGCTAAGTTTCACAGCAGTTGGCTTTGACATTTCCTGAGTACAAAAAGAGGTACGTTTGCAGGTAGCTCTGGGTTGGCCTGAGCAAATGCTCAGGAAAGTAACACACTTCTCACCGCAGGCCATAAAGTGGCCCTGAACCTGGCTCTGAAGCCATGATATTGATGCCAGACACAGTTTAATTGCTCCTGGCTACCTCAAACCAAAGCCATCTCTGCTTCCCCTGGAGAGATCCCCTCCCCGCATCTGGTGCCACAGCACAGTGGTGTTTACTTCTAGGAGATGGCAGAGGGTGAGCTGTTTGAGATGACATCACTGTAAGCAATTCTCAGAACCACCACTTTCGAGTCAAGATGGGCTTTCAAGACGCACAGTAGAGCTCCTCCTGGAGAAGTGAACTCCCAAGCCCACCCTGGCTCTCCCACTCAGGTCTGCAGCCAGGGCAGCGGCTCCAATTTAAAAATTAACCAGCTGTTTGGAATTCAAAATGCGGTCTGTCAGCCTCAAGTTGTTTATTTGTTACTTTTCTTTCCCCTTTTTCCTCCCAAGTAAAAAATTGAAGGGAGGTGGGGCAGAGCGCTTTGTGACTCACTTTGTTCAAACTGGCGCCACACTTCTCTGGACCTACTCTGCCAACCTCCAGGTGTTGCCTAGGTTTGTTTGTTTGAAGAAACCCAGAGATTTATCAGCATTCCAACTTGGAGAGTGAAGTGTCTATAGAGTCAAGGTTCATGGTCCTCAAACCAATAACTACATGTGTCTTACTCATGCGGACTTCCATTGATTTTTAAAATTTGAGTCTGTAGGGCTGCCATTGGCCTAAGGAAGGCTCTGAGCAGCGCTTGAAGAGCCAAGCACAGTGTTTACATTTACTGAATGAATAAATGATGAATGATCACTCTCTGAAAGAGGAAAACAGCTACGACACATGAAGATGCATACATATCGCTGACTCCTGAACCACATCACTTTCCCTCTTCCGAGACCCTTCCAGATCTAGGAGTCTAATGGAACCATCAAAAAGCAAACTTTCTTTTCTTTTAGCCAAAGGGAAGCTAAGGTTACAACCCAGTTACAACTTCCTCCAGTCTGAACTCCTGGGGAATTAACTCCCAATCCCTTCCCTCAGGTAATTAAAGGCAAGCAAGCAAACAAAATAAAACCTAATCAGCCACAAAGTTTCCCCCTTTCTACAGACTTTCGCTCATTCTCCTTTTCTGGCTGAGGTGCCCACCGGTGTTGTGAGCGGATCTACACCCCCGTGCCCAGGGTTTGTCTGAGAGGTGGTGAGGATAGTCTGTCAAAAAGGGCTCTAGGTGCCAGTCCTGCTTCCACTCCTCAACACCTGTGAGTCTTCCCAGAGGCAACAGGAGGTGGTAGAAAGGAGCAACTCATGAGCCAGAGCTTGAATCTACTAATTTGCCATGGGACCCTGGGCAAGTCACTTCTCAATTTTGAGCCACAGTTTCCTTATCTGCCAAATTTAAATATAATACATGCTGGATTCCTGTGTTAAGCTAAATGTGAGAAAGCAAAGGAAGCTGGAAAAAATGGGAAAGGTCCCTAAACTACAAAATACTAGCAGTACCTTCATTCAGTTCCTAACCCCTGGTTTCCCCTTCCAAGTCGGGGGCAGGGTGGCTTACTGTCTCTGCCTACTCTAAGGTACACCCTCCTTACCTCAAGCAGCCAAATGGCTGTACCCCCAAATGGAAGTGATACTTCCCTCTTCCTCTCATGTCTATACCCAAACCTCCTACAACTAGCTGGGAAAGAGGGTCCACTGTCTTCTCTTTCCAACGGAAAAGGTTCCTCAGCGTGGCTGAAAAACTTGGTGCAGGAGGTTGCGGGGGCAGTTTCTTGTCCTGTCACTACTGAATCTCAGTACCCTCATCTGTCAAGTGGGAATGAGACCACCTGCCACATCTATTTTTCAGGGTCCTAAGAAAGCAGGAATGGGAGGTCTGGTCTTACTCTGATCCAGAAAGGCTTTACAGGACATGGGCTCTCATTAGGGAGCCTTCTGAGAGATTCAAGAGGGGTTTGGAGCCTGAGGGAGGCTGAAGGCCACTACCTCCTTTCCTCCACCACCGCGCCAGGCAGAGGCGGGAGAGAGTGGTGCCCAGTGATCAAGGCCTCCTCCTCGTGTCCAGTGATGGCCCGGATGGGACAAGGATGTCAGAGCTTCCCCTTGTTAAGTGGAACTCCCACCTAGAAGAGTCTACAATAAACCACCTTGCTTCCTCACTCCCAGGAAGTACCGAGGGCCTTAAAGGGAGAGAGGCAGATAGCTAGAGAAACTTAAGGGGCCCGAAGGGGCAGAGAGAGAAGGAACTGAGTGAGGTGGGAGACAGAGAAATGAAGGTACACACAGGCAGGGAGAGAAAGGGAAAGTGAAGAGCCAGAACAAGAACAGAAAGAGTACACAGACACAGAGAGAGATGAAGACAGACTGACAGCGCTGTTTCAGGAGGCAGGGAAGACAAAGGGGACCATCCGGTATTTTTAACTGGTCTGGCCTTTTAGAGACACCGAGTCCCCCAGAGAAAAGCCCAGGGGGCGGGAGGAGGAGGCCTGAGCAAGCAGTGGCTCACACCGGGCCCCCTCCGCCCCTGCGCCCGGCCCCCTCCCCGGGTCCTGGCCCCCGCCCGGACCCACCAGCCCTCCTGGCCCGTTTGCTCACCTGCCAGCGCCAGGATCTGGGCCTTGTGGAGCAGCAGCGCACCCCAGTCGCGGGGGGCGCGCAGGGGGCTCTCGGGCCCGCCGCCCAGCTCCTCCGGGCCCCGGTACACGGCGTACACCTTCTGGTTGTCAAAATCCAGCCGCGAGCGGGGGCTGAAGTCGCGCACGCACGACACGGGCAGCGCGTAGCAGACGTTGTCCTCCAGGAACCGCACAAAGGCGTACATGGTGGGCGCCGGGGGCGGGCCCGGGGCGGGCACTGAGGTGGGGACCCGGCGGGGGACGCAAGCCGAGCTGCCGGGCCGGGGGGCGGGGGCGGCTCCCCGACCCCGGGGTCCCCCCACTGTTATTGTTCCCGAAAGCACTGCTCTGCCAATCGGCTGCTCTGGCCTGGGCGCGGAAAAGAGAGGGAGGGGAATGGGGGGCGGGGGGCGGACGAGGGGGGTTTGGAAGCGCACTGCCACTCGCAAAGTCAGACCCGAGCAATCACAGCCGGAGCGCGTTTGGAGTAGGTTGGGAAAGAGCAGTGAGATTGAATTGCAATAATAATGATAAAGATAATAATAACGATAGCATTGCAGAAAAGAGTGCTTTGACTGAAAGGCGCTGCGGGCAGGATTATATTGCTTCAATAATCGCATTGCAAAACAAATTGCATTGTAACAACAACAAAAACAACGGCATTGCAAAGGAGAGGAGACAGTATGGGAAAATGAATGTGTTTTGGGGGGGCAATCTCATTTAGATCGCTAACTGTAAACTTGCACTTGTAAACAAGCAGAATTTTGGACTGTTTCAAATCACTCCTCTCGTCCCTTACAGTTCAACACCCGCCCCCCCCCGCCCCCAAAACTGCCAGCTTCCGCTGCCAGTTCTGGGGGCCGTTTCCCCAGAGCTGCCAAACTAGCTCTGACCGGTACTGGGGCTTATCTGGGATTTCCAGTTGGACCAGCTGGCTGGGGTGGCAGAGGGTTAGTGGAGGGCTGCTCCCAGCCCGGGCAGCAGTGGCGCCCCTCGCCTCTGTAGTGAGTCCCTCTTCGCAGCCTTCCTGTCTGAACTGGGACCAGTTCGAATGAGGTGGGAAGTAGAGGGGCGTTCTGAGAAAGGCAAGACCAGCGCTAGCGGGGCATTTCTGGAGCACCTTGAAGAGTTCAGAAGTGAGACTCTGTGGAATAGCAGTCTTTGCTCTGTTCCTAATACCACGGGCAGGAGAGGCCCTGGAAGGTTTTGGGTGTTCCCAGTCAGGCCATGAACACCAGCTGAAAGAGGGTGACTGGGTGCCACATTCATAGGAACCCCCATCTCACATCGAAGGGGGTCAGCACCCTCCCACAAATGTCTCTGGGAAGGTGGGTGGACTTTGTATCAAATATGGCTACTTATAAAGAGTGCCTAGCTCAGACCTGGCATTTGGGAGGGGCTCAATGAATTTTTGGGTGAAGAATAATAAATAAAAATCCACATTCACCTAGCCATCTAGTCATTCACTCATTTATTCAAGCAACCAATAGTCATTGGATACAGGCTGTAGGCCAGATTCTGGGATAGATGCTGGTAGTACAGATGAGCAGGACAAACACATGGATTCTTTCTAGTGTTCATGTATCAGAACTTCAGCTTTAGTGTTGGGTTTCTGTGCCACAACTAGGTCACTATATGAATAACACACCTTTCCTGTCCTCAAAACCCTTATAATCTGGTCTTGGAATATTGAAAAGTATTTCTGTTATAGTGAGAAAAATGTTCTCATACAAGAATGCTTAATAGAAGTGGCAGCCTCAGTTAAGTATTATATATATTTTTAATTCATCTTAATGAACTCAATCTGTAAGAAAAATCAAAATAAATGCACCAAAATGTTGATAGTAATAGTAATAGTGGTGGGTGATTTTGTTTTCCATTGTGTTCTATGTTTATAGATTTATATTTTAACTATTTTCCACAGTAAGCAGGTATGACTTTATAATCAGAAAGCATTAAAGATTACTCTTTTAAAAGCACTGTGCTTACATTTCAGATCAGCTGCACTAATGATGAAGCAGATCACCCAAAACCCCCAAGTTACTTTACTGTAAATTAGGGAATGCGTTATACAGATGAAGCCCATCGACATATACCTCCCCGATCCAACTGTACAGGTCAGTTGAAGTTCCCCAAGCGTCTGGTATGTATGTGGTGACAGTAGCACATGACTGTAAGTTGTTCTGATGCAGGTGTTGGTCCTACATGGCCCCACACACTTGTGGGGGGGAAAAAGAGCCACTCTATTGTTCCAGTAGCTTTACTTTTATAATTAGTTTCTTTGGACTGATCTTAAGTGAGTTTTTATTTTAAGGATACATTCCTGTGGTCATCAAGGGGAAGTAATGTGTAGCAAGACTTCGGCTAACTCACAAGAAGGATTATGCAGAGTTGGCCGTATTTAATGCAAGTCCATGAAGTTCCAAACTATGTTTGCAAAATAATTTCAAGTAGCTCCGTGGCCAACTGCCTGTCCCACCTAAATGAAGGTGAACCTAAAACAGAATACGTTACCAGTCTCATCTTTTACCACCTTCCTGGACATAGTACACTTCAGATACATTGAACTATTTGACATTTCCCAAGATAACATGTTTTATGAGGTCCCAAGCCTTTGTGTTTGCTCTGCCCTCATCCTGGGAAGTATTTCTTCCTGGGGTGCATGGTGACCTCAACTTTTCCTGAGGACCAGCTTGGATACCATCTCCTTTGTGAAGCCTTCTTTAACTACCAACTCTCCTCAAGCACAGGCAGTCTCTTTCTGCTATTTGTCTCCGAACCTTTTATCTTCTCTTATTAGAATGAGCTCTCTGAGGGGTGACAAAAAGGCTGAGTAACTTCAACATGCCAGGTTCTTAGCACAGGGATGCGGGGTAAATGCTTATAGAACAAATGCCTTAAAGAAAGACAGACAGCATGAATAGCAAACCTTTTGTGTGCTTTTTTTCTCCCCCCCAAAAAACTCTGCCCCTTCTTTTCAGAGTTGGAGCTGAATCCCAACTCTGTCTTTCCCACTCCCAGTGGCAAAGGGCAAAACACTGATTCCACTCCTTGTAAGACAGACACATATTCATGAATGTAATAAATACCATGCGTCCTCAAGTTCAAACAAATTCCCCACCCAAGTCAGTGTAAATAATTCTTATAAGGGGGCAGTTCCATTTTCCCAGAACCCAGAAAGAAAAAAAGAACAAACAATGAAATGAATGCCAACAGAGCAAACACAGACTCAATACATTTTGCATGTAGGTGCCCGGAATGGATTTTCGGGAAGGAGTGACAGGTACAAGATACTAAAAGAAACTCTTGGGCAGCCTCTGAGCAACTGAAAGTCACCCAGAGTTTCTGCTTCTTGTGTGACTCTCACAGTCTTTTAACAGAGCTTCATGGAGAACCTGCTAAGTGCTTCTGCTCTAGTGAAAACAGTCATAGTACCTCTTTGATCCAGAGACCATAGCCCCAGGCTTTACACATACCAGAAACCCAGGATGTTGATGATTCATTGATTGGCAAGTAGAGACAGTTCAAAAGTCCAGATTTCAGTGGTGGTTAAAAATGTCAAGTTCAACCAAATCATGGTTGAATCCCCTCTCCAATGTCCCTGCCAAATGGTCACTAGATACCTCTTACACAGTTCTAATGCCAGGAAGTTTACTACTATCCCTTAACTTTGGGATAGTACAGACTGACTGTTGGAAAGACCTCTCTTACACTGAGTCAGAACCTTATACATTGTAGCTGCCATACTAGGTTCACCACCAAGAGTCTCATGTCAGCCCTTCAGATATGGGAAAACTTGGGGTCCTCTTTCCATAGAATCTTGTCTGTCTTCTGCCCAGACATCTTCATGTTCTTTGCCTGTCTCTCCCCATATGACATGGGTTCAGTGACAATAATTGTGGTATCTACTTTCCCCCCAAAGCATACCATAAACCTTGCACGCCAGGCACCAAGTATACCTCAATTAATTTCCCACTGAACCCTTGGAGTAGGTCTTAACCCCAGGACAGAGTTAAGAAAACTGAGACTTACGGTGGAGCAGTTTGGCCCTGGGGAGTCCTGGAAGGCTTGGGGTCCTATTTGTATTTTAGACATTTAGACTGGAAACCATGCAGGGGAAGGTTTAGAGGGGAGGCAAGACTGGGGAGTGGGAGGCCTATGATGAGGCTGACTGTCCTCTTCCTGGCCCTCCCCTAACTCGCTCTATCTGTGGGCCAAATGTGCTTTGCCTCTCATCCAAGTTATTTTAATGGAGCAGAAAATGTACACATCTGGGGCAGCTTTGTGACTGCATCTCCATTGTGCCTTCCTGTTGAGTTTTGCAAAGCCTTGGGTTAATGTCAAGCCCCTTCAGTTTAGCCGGCTGAAGCATGCTCAGCGGCAGCAGTGGGACTTGTGTTTCATATTACTGCATGGAATTCTCAGTGTACTTTGCAAAACTATTTTAAGGAGACCTGGGTTCTGTAAATTTTTAAAGCAATTGGAGCGTGTCTTTTCAGTCTCTCTGCTAATGATTGACCACATTTTTTCATGATTTTGCTTTTTTTCCTCCCCTGTGATACTTAATTTGACTTTTCAAGTATTTGCTTTTTAAAATTATTTATTTATTTATTTATTTATTTATTTATTTAAAACTTTTGCCCAGAAAACTAACTTGCTGTGCAGCTCAGGACTACTGTCTTCTTGGGTTAATTTAAGGAAGAAACACTGATACATGGTTAGGAGGATCTGGGATTGTTGGGAGGCCCATCGTGGGCATTACCCTGAGCTGGGTGCTATCACCCCAAAGCCAAGGCATCGACCAGGACATCCATGTGAGCCCCTGATCATGAACTCTGGTTGAATTTGGTTGTGGGGTTTTGGGCAGGGGAAGAAAGGGGCAATAGAGAGAAGGAAGGGAGGGAGGAAAGCAAAGTTGCATGTTGAATACAGACTGAAAGGCCAGTGAACACCACCTGGAGTTAGAGGGAACGCCACTTGTCATGTAGGTGACAGCTTGGAGGACTAATGTAATGTGGGCTTTGGCTTTGCTTCATCTTTGCTCTGACTTTGGGCAAGACAGTTTACCTCCTTGGGCCTCAGTTTTCTTACCTATAAAATGGATCTATTGAAACCTTCTGAAGGTGGTGTAAGAATTGGGGCAGAAGTTTTTGACCCTGTCTGTGTATCAGGATCACCTGAGCTTAAAAAATATTCCACTCTGTTGAGTACCTCTA